TTTTATTTTATTTTATTTTATTTTATTTTATTTTATTTTATTTTATGTGCAGGTATGTTTTGCCTTCATGTATGTCGGTGCCCACAAGAGGGCATTGGATGCTCTGGAATTGGACAGCTGTTAGCCACCATGCGGGTGCTGCGAATCAAACTCAGGTCCTCTGGAAAAGCAAGACCTCTCCCGCGACCTCTCCAGCACAGCTTCCTTACTTTAGAGTCCGGGATCTCAGCCAGGACGTGCTATCACTCAAAGATGGAGGCTCTTTCTACCTCAACTAATGCAGTCAAGGTAATTTCCCAGGGCTGGAAGAGATGCCTCAGCAGTCAAGAGCAATTGCTGCAGTTACAGGTAACCTGAGCTTGGTTCCCAGTACGCACATCAGGCAGCTCATAACTGCCTACGGTCCAGCTCCAGGGGGTCTGATGCAGTTTCCTGGCCTCCAAGGGACACAGGCACTCACACACAGCATGCCCCTACGGAGGTGCACATAGATAAAAACAAACACATGTACTCGAATAAGAAATATTTTTAAAGGGTAACCCTCCATAGACAGGCCTGTCTCCCAGGTGATTCTAGAGCCTGTTGAATGGCGATTATCATAATCATCGACAGCTAGGACCAGCGAGGCCCAGAGACCTGCCTTTCTCTGTCCTCCCAGCACTGGGTTTACAATCATGGGCCTCCATGCCCAGCTTTTTACCTGGGTGCTCTTATCTGCAAGAACTCATCCTCCGGGCTGAGCACAGGCTGTTCTTCCAAAGGTCCTGAGTTCGATTCCCAGTTAAACCCCATGGTGGCTCACAGCAAACTACAAGGAGATCTGGTGCATAATAAGATCTTGTGTATACATAATAAACGAATGAATCTTAAAAAAGAAAGAAAAAACTCATCCCCCTTCTTGGACAGTGAAAATTTTTACCGCCACAGCCTCAGCTCCTATGTTGTTGTTTTGAGAACAGGGTCTTAGGTGGTCAAGGCTGGCTTTGAACTTACCTCCTAGTTGCTCAGATTACAGTATGTGCTCTACAAAGCCTGATTTCCACACCCTCTCTGGTGTCTCTTACCTCTCGGTCTGTCCCTACAGAGGCCACAGAGAATACCAGACACCTAGAGAGGCCCCCTTTCTTCTTTAAAAATAAATAATGAATTTAATTTAATTTTATGTGAGAAACCCTGTCTCAAACAAAACAAAACAAAACAAAACAAAACGAACGAATAAACCCCTCCTCTACTGCTCTGGACACTGGGTAGAGAAGTCCCAAAATAAGATTATCTCCCGTTCTGGGAGAGCTATTTCGTGTATGGACACATGTTCGCCATGGCCAGCGACACTTGGACCGTGCTCTGGTCTGAAACTTGAAGCAAGAGTCTGTAAGAAACCGGCAGCCAGCTACGCCGCCTCCTCCGGCTGGCTCAGGAAGCCAGGCTTGTCCCCTCTCCAGGTAAAGCTCAGCCTTCCTGAAGCACGGGCGCATCTCATTAACGGTTCAGGTGGCAGCGCTGACCGCCCCTCTGTAGCTTCCGGAGAAGGAGGTGGTCAAAGGCGCCCCACCAACTGGGCAAAGCTGCTCCCTTTTAGGTACCTCTCCCTCCTCTTCTCCCTTCCTCTACAGGGGCAGTCCCAGCTTGGGTCTGGTTCACTACAGAACCCCAAGCTTTCGGCGCAAAGTACTTGATACTTTCCAGCTGAATGACTGACTGGCCGAGCGAGTAAACACAGCCTTTGAGTGAAGTTAGGCGCGCTTCATGCTTACTCTCTAAAGATGCTCAGAATATAGAGTCAGCCCCCAGATGAAATCCCAGCGCCCAGGAAGACGATGCGGGAGAAGAGAGTTTGAGAACTCACTATTGGGAACTCTCTAGACTATAGAAAGAGGTCCTGTCTTAAAACACCAAGAAGAAAGGAAAAGGGGGACAGGGGATGAGGAGGAGAGGAGAGAAAGCCCCCATATTTGTTGTCAAAGAAACTCCTCACCTTTTCTCTTCCCCACCAGGGCCTGATCCTCTCCCCGACCCCTTTAACACGGGCCAGCGTTTATTGAGCAGCTATTCTGAATTGGACATTGTGCCCAGAGCTGCGGACACCTGCCCTACCCACACCTCTCCCTCTCCAGCCTGAGCCCCTTCCTGTACCCCCATTCCCATCACACAGCTCAGGGGCCTCCAGCCTTCCTCGTCCCATATCTGAGTCCGGCTGGAGGCTGCTGAGTTAAGGGAGGGAGACAGTCTCTCGGCCTCTAGCCTCTGCAACAGCCAACCCCAACCCCCCCAACCCTACCCCAGGAATCTGTCCCAGGTAACCTCGGCGCTGGTCCCAGTCAGGTTATACAACCCAAAGACGCTATCGGACAGTCTCAAACCCGGCTCTTTCACCTCCCCCTCGCCCCCATCCCTGCCCAAGGGCACCCTGCAGAGTCCACCACACTTGGGCCTGCAGCGCCCTGGCCCCTCGGTAGCCGCTGGCGGCGGGAGCTGCCAGCTTTTTTGGAATTCCTAATCGCTCCTGGCCCCGGTGATTGGCTGTTCAGCTCTGACCCCACTTGGGCTGCCGCCTGGTTGGATAAAAAGGGAATCTCCTTGGGGCTCCAGAGCATTAGACACCGGAGGGGGCACCTGGGACCAACTTCTCAAAGCGGGGAGCCCGGCCGGGGGGGGAGGGGGGTCCGGGGGGAGCCAGAGACCCGCGGCCTCAGCCCCCTCCAGAGAACCCGGGAGATGACGGGGAAAGCGGGGGAAGCGCTGAGCAAGCCCAAATCCGAGACGGTGGCCAAGAGTACCTCGGGGGGCGCCCCGGCCAGGTGCACGGGCTTCGGCATCCAGGAGATCCTCGGCCTGAACAAGGAGCCCCCCAGCTCCCACCCGCGGGCCGCCCTCGACGGCCTGGCCCCCGGGCATCTGCTGGCCGCGCGTTCGGTGCTCAGCCCGGCAGGGGTGGGCGGCATGGGGCTGCTGGGGCCCGGGGGGCTCCCCGGCTTCTACGCGCAGCCCGCCTTCCTGGAGGTGCTGTCCGAGCCGCCGGGCGTCCACCTGCAGCCGCTGGGCAGAGCGTCGGGGCCGCTGGACACCAGCCAGACGGCCAGCTCGGGTAGGTGAGGGGCGAGGCCGCCCCCTCCCCCTCTCCCGCGAGGGCCAGAGCCCCGCGCGCTCGCGCCTGCGGGGGGCCGCGACCTCCCCCGGGAGGAAAAGTTCGCTCGCCCAGGCCGAGGGCTCTCAGCCTAGGCCCGGAGTCAGGAGGCCCCGGCCCACGACGGTTCAGGATGCAGCTTGCCCGACCCCCTGCTCGGCCCTCGGGCTCCATCGCGTCTCTGGGTTGAATTGCCCCGCGGATGCTGGCTGGCTCCGGGTGGCCGGGTCCCTGTCGCAGCATCTCCCGGGGAGCTGGCCGGAGGGCCCCAGCTCGGGCCTTGGGGCAGGACCTGCGCTCCCGAGGCCCCGGGCCGTTCTCGGCGCTGGCAGGACGGGGAAGACGGCCCAACCCTGGCTCTTGCCCGTGTCCAAAGTTGCCCCCCTTTCCCTCTCCGTTTCCCCGTTCCAAACCCCCGGATCGCTCAGCCGAGCTTTCCTCCCCGGGAAGAAATGGGAAACGAAAACCGCCAGGCCGGTTCGAGCAGCCATCAGATACGACCCCCGCGGCACTGAGCCTTGGGTTCCGATTTCCCTCCGGCCCGGGGACCCCGGAGAAGACCTGTCTCGGGGGCCACTGTCCCGGCGGCGCGCTCTAGCCTGCCGGCGCTCAGTTACCCCCGGGTTTCCCCTGCCGTGGTTTACTGGGCGTTATTACGCAGGAGGACAACGAAAAGCGGCTCCCCGCGGGCCCCCCGAAAACATTTTGTGGGTGTCGCGAAGGAGACGGCGAACCCGCAGGCTCCGGCCCTCCCCCTCCCCGAGCCCCAGCTCCCCCGCCACTGGGCTCCATCCCTTGGGTCAACTCTCGGATCCGGGGCTTGGGGGCTGTTGGCGGGGGGCAGATCTCGGAGCCGGGAGCCTCGCCTGAGGCCCCGGAGCCGGCCTGGTTCTCCCAGGTCCCCGCCCGCCCGCCCGCCCGCCTGCGCGCCCGGGCCTTTGCCTCTCTTGCAACGAAATTTGCTCGGTTTCCCGAGCAGACGCGGGGAAGGGCCGGCCCGGGCTTGGGGATGGGGACGGTGGCCCGGGCGCGGGACGGGGCTCCGGCCGAGCCCCCGGGCCCGCCAGGCCCGCGGGGGCTGCAGAAGGTGGGGTGTCAGCGCGTCGTCTCGGCTGTGCGGGGCGCGCTCCCCATCCTGCCTCCTGCCTTCCAGACTCCGAGGATGTCTCCTCCAGCGACCGGAAGATGTCCAAATCGGCTTTAAACCAGACCAAGAAACGCAAGAAGCGGAGGCACAGGTAAGCCCCCCCAACCCCCACACCGGACAGTCCTTCCTCGGCCCCGGGCCGGGTCACCCAGATCTTGTTGTCTGAGGGTCACAGAAGAGAGGGCCACCCAGCCCCGGCTGCAGGGGCCCGCCCCGGGGTCCTGGCAGCCAGGCTCAGCTGGAGCAGCGGCACCATCTGGGCTGGAGAAAGCGAGGGCCCAGCTGGGCTCGGACTCGAGCCGAGGAGGCGTCCGAGGCCCCAGATCCGTGCGCCCACCGAGGCCCAGAGCCGCGCGCGCGTGCGTGCGCGCGGACCCGGTGGAGAGCAGACAGGCTCCCACCTCCGGCTGGAGCGGGGTCTGCGCCCTCGGCCCCGGGAACCCCGGGAGCCCGGTCCTCCTGCCGGGCCCCTGCTCTGTCAGCTCTCCAGTTTTCCGCTGCGATGGTGTCCCCGACCCCACCCCGCGCCCCAAACTCCGGTGACAGCCGCAGGGCTGGACCTTCCGGCCTCGGAGGCTCGCTACCCTTCCGGGGGCCTCGGTTTTCTCCTCTGGAGAATGGGGGGGAGGTGGACACTGTCTGATCGCACCAGCCGGGGCCGGAGCGGGGTGGATGGCGTTTGTGTGCGCGCCAGGGAGAGCGGCCAGCCCCGGGGCCCGGGGGTCCGAGGCAGACGCGCGCGCCCACACGTATTTTCAACGTGGAAAACAAGCCTTTAAGTCGACCTTGCTTGCCCAAAGTTAAAACTCAACGGGTTTGCCCTATAGGAAGTACGCTGCCTGGCCCTTCCCCGCCAGCGGGGTCGGGGACGGTCCGGACCCTCATGGACCCTCATTCGTTTCCGCGTCCACACGAGTCCATTCCTAGTGGGAATCCTTGAAGCGATTTTTTTTTTTTAAAGCAAAGAAAGGCAAGAGAGACCAAACAAACAAGCAAACACACTGAGTTTCTGTGTGAGAGAGCTGTTCCGAGGCTCTGTCCCTGCACTCCTCAGCAGGCCGCTTCCCCCACGGTTCTCTCGGTTCCGACCCAACCGAGACGTCCCCAGCACCGCGCGGATTCTAGCTTGAGGTCCCACCGCCTCCTCCATCCTCTCCCGGGTTTGGTCTCAGGCCCTGCGTCCTCTCTCTCTCTGTCTCTGTCTCTGTCTCTCTCTCTCTCCGCGTCTGTCTGTCTCTGTCTCTCTCTCTCTCTCTCTCTGCGTCTGTCTGTCTCTGTCTCTGTCTCTCTCTCTCTCTCTGCGTCTGTCTGTCTCTGTCTCTCTCTCTGCGTCTGTCTGTCTCTGTCTCTCTCTCTGCTTCTCTGCACCCCAGTTTTCCTAGCTGCCTCCCCTCTACCCCCTCATTCCTTCCGGACTCCCCCTTTCCGAGCTCAGAAAGGGAACAGGGACTTCGGCTTGGGTTTCTCAGCTCATTCCCTGAAGGCAGATGCTGGCTTTAGTTCGGTTTTTGTTTTAACTTAATTTTAATGTATGTCTGTTACTACTGTGTGCATGGGTGATGGGGGGTGAGAGTTCAAGCGCTCCACGGGAACGGCCTGGGCGGTCCCAGGGCAACTTCTGTGGAGTTGAATCTCTCTTTCCACCGTTTTTGTGGGTCCCAGGGAACTGAGCCGGGTCCCTCAGGTTGCGGGGCAAAAGCTCTGACCTGAAGGGTGAGCCACCTTGTCAGCCCAGTTTATTTTAAATGGGGGGGAAAAATTAATCTACTCGCCGGTCTTTTTAAAAGCAAAATCATCCAACGATTATGCACATTGCCTCTGCCTCTGCGTCTGACGGGTCCTAAAGGAATCTTCCCTGGCTGGGACAAGGTTAACTGTGGCGGGGGATCCTCTGCTCCAGCCCCGCGGGAGGCCCCGAAAGCCGCAGCACTGTCTGGGCACTGTCTGAGGACCGCTCAAACTCGCGCCTGAGGTCCCTCCCTCTTCACCTGCCACTCTTCCTAATAGAGAAACGTTTGGGGTCTTCGTGGATTAGGGGGCCAGGGAAGGCTGGTTGCAGAGGTCACCAGCATCAGAGAACTAACTGGCTACCCTGGGTTTCTTTCCATTTCCGGTGCATGAAGATAGCATATAACTGAAAAGGAGAATGGGCTGTGCCTTGCCGGGGGTTGGAGGGGGAGGGCGGGGTAGAAAAACCAAACCAGACACAACACATTTTCCTGAGCTGCTGCCGTTTGAGGATTTTTAGGAAGAGAGCCTGGGATCTTGTGAGGAGGGTCAGGAAACCAGTTTCAGCCGAACTGGAGGGTAGCTGGGGATGCGGCGGCGGCAGCAGCGGTGACCCGGCTCTGGGATTTTGTTCTTGGGGAAACTGCAGATCCTCTTTGTAAGAGTTCTCGGGCTCTGCCCTCGGCCAGGAGCGGCCAGGAGCGGCGTTTGGGTCGCTGGACCCACCCGGGGAGGGGGCCCTCCTGAAGAGTATGTGGTCGTTAGTGGGAGGACCAGCTCTGAGGCAGGAATGAGGGAAACTTGGAGAATGTAAGGTTTGCTTCTCTCTCTCTCTCTCTCTCTCTCTCTCTCTCTCTCTCTGTTTTTGTCTCTTTTCTTGCAAGGTAGTTCTGGCTGGCCTGAACTATGTTGATCAAGGTCTTGGACTTGCTATGAGGGTCCTACCCATTCGCCAATGCTAGTCGCACAGCCTGGTCCCACAGCCCGCATCTGTTTCTTGAATGGGACTCTTTCCAAATACAGGAAGACCCTTGAGTAATTCTAAATGATTTACAGCCAGCTCCCTTCCTGGGCTTTGGCCAGGCCCTGCTAGTTTCCCTGGTTTTAAAAGAGACTTGCATATTTTGATTGTTTATTTTGATGATCTGCTCAAAGAATTTTCAGCAAGTGGTAAGAGAGAAACAGAGGGCAGAAGATCTTCAAAATCACCAATAATTGACTTCTTTCTTTCTTTTCTATTTGTTTATTCGTTTTGTTCTGAGTCAGGGTCTCACTGTGTGGTTCTGGCTTGCCCGAGGTGCACCAGGCTGGCCTCCAACCCGTAGAAATCTGCCTGCTTCTGCCCCCGTGCTAGGAGGAAAGGCAGGTGTCACCACCACACCCAGCCTATGAATTAATGTTCTGTGCACATAAGAACTCCACATACTGCCCTCAAGAGAATAGACAAAATAATTCAAAAATCAAACTGGCATTTTCTATGAAGAGTGCAGGCTTCCTTCCTCGTACTCTTTATAATATCCCTGGAGATATGGAGATCCCTGTTAGCACAAGACACGGAGGTCACGTGTGCACTTTTTCTGGGCGCTGGGAGAGGCCGAGGGCACTGCCTGGAGACATTCTACTAACAAACTCTGTGCTGGTCCCAGGGTCCAAATCTCAGAGGGTCAAGAAGGAATGCGCCACTTTTTATAAGTTCTGTTTGTAGACACTGGACCTGTTGTCTTGATGAGGGTGTAAAATAAAGGTTAGGTAAATGCAGGGAATGTAAAATCCAAGAAAGGAGTGTGCATCTGTAAGCGGGTGCTTCCTAGTTTAAAAGGGGGGTTAGGAAACCGTTAATGTTGGACACTTGTTATTGGCACATTTTTCTGAGGGGAGAAAATGTAAGGGTTTGGGGGTTATGTTTGTTTGTTTTGTTTGGTGATGTTTTTTTTGTTTTTGTTTTTGTTGTTTTGTTTTGTTTGAGACAGGGTCTCTCTACATGGGCTGTCCTGAAACTCACTATGTAGCTCTGGCTGGCCTTGAACTCACAGAGATCCATTTGTTTCTGCCTTCTGAATGATTAGGGTTTTAATTAAAGGTTCATCCATCAGTTCTTTAGAGGAGTCAGTGTGAACCATTCTGGGGGTAGGAGAGAGAATGGGAGCAGTTGAATCTGGGAGGTTGGTCTTGATGGTACAGAGAAAGGGCAGGTGTGAGGGGTGGTGGGATGGGTTGTCATAGGTGACTCCATTCTCACTAGACAAATGCTGAACCTGAAGCTGTGGTTAGCCTTGGAGGATAAGAGAATCTTTACATTTGTCCAGGGAGGAGCACAGAAAGCAGGTCCAGTGGCCAAGATTTTCTTCACTTCATACGACCTCTACTTTGGCTTGCTGGGGGGCGGGGGTGGGGGGGGGAAGACTTACAGTCTTCTTGAATTTTCATCTTAAAACACTTTCCCCCAGAGTGTTCCCAGAAAGATTCTGAGTGAAATGTCACTGAAGTTTTGTCCACCACCACAATAATGTGGGACCTCTGCCCTGGGTAAGGGAGAGTCTAGAGGATTGATGTGTGTGAGTGTGCATTCATGTGGGGGGTGGTGAGTGTGGTGTGTGTGAGAGAGAGCGTGTCTGTGTACGTGTACGTGAGAGAGAGAAGAGAGAGGGAGAGTTGATTATGACCAAGGCAGAGGAGAGAAATGGTCTGTGTTCTCCAAGGCAGGCTCTTTCAGTTTCCAGGGCTCTGAGTTCTGATCTTGCTCTCCTCAGGACAATCTTTACTTCCTATCAGCTAGAGGAGCTGGAGAAGGCATTCAATGAAGCCCACTACCCAGACGTCTATGCCCGGGAGATGCTGGCCATGAAAACGGAGCTGCCAGAAGACAGAATACAGGTAACCGCTGCTAGCAATTCCAGCCTCCTGGAGACATCTCTATTGCTAGGGGCAGGTGTCCATCCTCTCACCAGCTGTACCCCTCCCTGGAGGTGACCCTAGCCTCAGTAAAAACAGTTCACTTACGTCTATTACGCTGACAGATAAGTGGATCATGGTAGTGCACGCCTTTGATCCCAGCACTCAGGGAGGCAGAGGCAGGTGGATTTCCAAGTTCGAGGCCAACCTGGTCTACAAAGCGAGTCCAGGACAGTCAAGGCTACACAGAGAAACCCTCTGGAGGGGAGGGGACAGATATTTGCTGAATATCTACCATGTAAGTGGGCTATCGAAGGACAAGAGGCTTGGTGGACTCGTCCTGTAGGCTTCCTGGGTTGAAGATAAAGTTCAGCGGTGGAGTGCTTTGCCTAGCATGAGTGAGGTCTTCTGTCCTATTCCCAGCCACTGCAGCAACCAAACCAAACCCCAAACCCAAATGGACAAAATGCGGATGGTAGGCTTCCTGGGAAAACATTGTAGAGGGCTTGAGGAGGCTTGGTGAGGAGAGAAAGAGTTGATGGGGACAGGGCATCCTGAGCAAGCCAATCACAGCACTCGGCTGTTCTAAGAGGGTTGTGTGATCCTCCTGTGGTAAAAAAGGGGGTGGGGCAGGCGTGGAGGGAGCAGGTCCTGACTTCCTAATGCTGTTGTCTGGCCAGCACCTCCTCTGTTTCCACCAGGAGTCTTTCTGTCAGCAGGTGCTTGGTGGAAGGGAGTATCCCTCGCATGCTAGAGAAGGAAGGAAAGGTTAGGGGTTGCTCAGACTCTCTGACTGGAGGACCAGAGGTTGGAAATGAGGCCGGGAGCTGCTTTTCCAAAACAGACCCCCCCCGCCCCCCCGCCCAGAAGTTGATTTGGAATTTCAGCCTCAGGGCTTTAGACATTGACACTAGCAATGGGCTCAATTATTCATAAGCAGCTTACGCTTGTCCACAGAGACCTGGGACCGTTTTTTTCTCACCCACACTTGAGTGATCTGGGTGTTGACTCTGAATTGTGTGTGTGTGCGCACACACACATGTGTATGGAGGAGGGGTGAGCCAAGGCCTGGTATGTCCAGTCACCTCCTCCCAGGCCTCATCAGCATCCAGTTGGCCATTGCAAGTGGCATGGAGGCCATTGCTGACAGGCCCACATTTGCACTAAGACAGCCCTAGTATGCTGTCTAATCTATGGCTGGCCCTGGTGGGGTGTGGTGGGCAGGGCTGTTGGAAGCTGGAACCTCCCCTGTAACTGCCCCAGGTTAGGCTTCATTAAATCACTTGGAGGTTGTCTGTGGGGCCCGAGCGGGGGAAAGTCACCATAACCAGCACGGGGAAAGGTGGAAAATAGAGAGCATGACTTGCCCTGGGACTGAGAGGGCTCACTGTAGGTGGGTGGCTGGCTGGAGATGGGACAGACACGGCAGGAATCTGGGCACCGCATAGCTCAGTGCTGCCCCCTGCAGGTGTGGGTGGAAGGGACTGGTGTATCTGAAGATGAACTGAGAGGTGTGATCCCGTCACCATCCTTTGCCTGTGCCAATACTGGGTCCGCTGTGTGTGTGTGTGTGTGTGTGTGTGTGTGTGTATATGTGTGTGTGTGTGTGTGTGTGTGTAAGAGAGGAGGAGTCATTAGACTCAGAAGTTTACAGGTAAAGCGGAATGATGATTGTTTGCCTTTGTTTTTTGCTTTGTGGTGGTGGTGGTGTGGGGTAGAGAGCACATACTCTTGCATTCTTGACCCTGTGCTGCCGGGACAGGAGAGGCCGCCTGTGGAGGCCACCTGTGTCAGGACCGCCTGCCCTCACCAGGCTGTAAGCTGGGGTGAGAGGGCGGGCCAACTAGACTTCAACAGTCCTAAGTAGACTGTTGGGAAGCTTAGTCCCTGCTCATTCAAGCCAAGTAAACTCCTCCTGCCTGAGATCTAACAACCCACATTGCAGCCTGAGGTCTGCTGACCCACAGTGCACACACGAAAGCTAGATACACCTGCCTCCATCTTGTTTCGCCACTCCTAGTCACGGGCTGAGCCTCAAGTGACTCATTTGTCAAAATGATGACATTTCCCCAAACTCTGAGCTTGCTGAAGGTATTGTGATCTGGGACATTTACTAAGTCCTCACCACCACCCTGGACATTCACTGCCTTTCATGCCTGCTGGCATTTCAGCATCCAGATGGGTCTGCTATTAATTCCGTACCCATTTTCCGAACGAGCACACTGAGGAGCCGAGAGGGAGGGTCAGTAAGAGACCAGGGTTTGAACCCAGATTAGCTGCTACCACATGAGATGAAATGACCCTGTCTAGAGAAACCATAATAATTAGGGCAAACGGCAATGACAGTGGGCCAGCCTGGGGAGAGAAGAAAATCTAAGTCACCACAATGTATTTGGACACACGGTTCTTTTTATGTATAGAATTTAGGATATACATTCTGGAAGTCTCTTCTAGATGTCAGTCCTGGGGGAAGGGAAATGGATTTCCAGACTGATTTTATCTCCTCCGAGGTCACTGGTTATAAAGTTGCAAGAGAGGGCTACCTGCATGGTTTGTTTGGGGTTTGGTTTCCATTTTGGTTTTTTGGTGCTAGGAAACCTAAGGCTGTGCCAATGTTTGGTAAGCATTCTGCCGCTGAGCTGCACATGTTCCTGGCTCTCTGTTTTCTTGTTAGATTTGTATTTTATTTTATGTGTTTAGCTGTGCACATGGGTGCCTGTGGAGGCCAGAAGACAGTGCTGGGTCCCCTGGGACTGGAGTCACAGATGGTTGTGAGCCACCATGTGAGTGCTGGGAACTGAACCGGTGTCCTCCGAAAGGACAGCGAGTGCCCCAGGCCACTAAGACACCTCTCCAGCCCCTGCCCTTGGCCCTCTTCTAGAATATATCATTTTTTTTCTTTTTAAAAATTTAATCTTTATATTTAACTTGTATGAGAGAGAGAGAGGGGCAGGGAGGGAGAACATGCCTGTGTGTGTGCTTGTGGAAAAGGTGCTTGTGGGGATGTGGTACAGACTGCGATACGTCCCCAGAGACCTCAAGACGAGGTCAGGTGTCCCTGTCACTCCACGTCTTATTTCCTTGAGAGAGGGTTTTTCCCTGAATGTGGATCTAGGCTGTCAACCAACAAGCCTCGGCCATCTTCCTACCTTTGTCCCCCAAGCACTAGACCAGTGCCGCAACAGGTCTGGCTGTATCCTCTATTTGTTTACTCTGTTTTCTTTGTTTCTTTTGTGTTTGTTTGTTGAAGTTTTTTTTTTTTTTAAGCAAGGTTCCTCTGTGGAATGCTGGCTGTCCTGGAACTCCTTCTGTAGACCAGACTCGTGGCGTTCCACCTGCCTTATTTACTCATTTTTATTTTATGTGTATGGGTGTTTTGCCTGTATGTGTGTCTGTATGCAGTGTCCTTGGAGGCCAGAAGAGGGCATGGGACTATCTGGGACTGGAGTTACAGACAGCTGTGAGCTGCCCCGTTGTATCAAACCGGGGTCCTCTGGAAAAGTAGCCACTGTTCTTAACCACTGAGCCACCTTCCCCGGCCCCTTCTGTTTGTTTCTTAACAAAAGATACTCTTGTTAGAAAAAAAGCGAATATGCAAAGTGAACGGACACAGCCTCATACTGCTCTTAGCAACTTAGCGTGTGAGGAAAGGTAGGTATGGATTATCTGGCTAGCATTATTCCACTCTGGCTTTTCAAATTTTTATTTACTTTTTATTTTTTATCTTGAGACCATGTCTTGCTAGGTAGCTCAAGCTGTCCTAGGACTTGAAATTTCCCTTGCTTCATCTCCTAAGTGCTGGGATTTTAAAGATGTATCACCATACCCAGCCACCACTTCACACTTCTAACATTCCTTTGACTGGAGGCCACTTTAAAATGGGTTGCCAGGTGTGGTGTTGCACGCCTTTAATTCCAGCACTCAGGGAGGCAGCTGCAGGTAGATCTCTGTGAGTTCAAGGCCAGCCTGTTCTACAAAGGGAGTCCAGGACAGTCACAGCTACACAGAGAGACCCTGTCTCAAGGAACTAAGACAAGGAAAACAACAACAAAAACAGAAAACAGGCACAGTTGGAACTAAGCATGGAGGCCCATCTGTGGTCCCAGGATTTGGGAGGCCAGGGAGAGCCTGGTTACAGAGTTCCACTGTAGCCTAGATTCCATTGTCAAGGCCAGCCTTGAAAACACAGTGAGACTTTGTCCCACCCCCAAAGTTCTACTCTAGTTCAAAGGTAGTTGTCCTGATGGGAAAGGGTTTGTAGGATCCTGGCTTAGTATGCTTATGAGCTTCTCAGAAGCAACTTTGTTATTTTTTTGAAAAGATTGATTTACTTTATGTATAGGAGTGTTTTGACTTCATGTATGTCTGTGTACCATGTGCATGCCTGGTGGTCATAGAGAATGTCAGTTCCCCTGGAACTAGAGTTATAGATGGTTGTGAGCCAGCCACCATGTGGGTGCTGGGAACTGAACCCAGGTCCCTCTGCAAGAACAACTCATGCCCTTCACAGATGAGCCATGTCTCCAGCAGTTTTTATTTTATTTTTATTTTTATTTTTTTATTTTTACTGTGCTAGGGATTGAACCCAGGGCCTTGTGCATTCACAGACAACCGTTTAGACAACCCTTGTGGTATCCCTAGACCCATCAAGGCTGGCCTTGGTGTGTGTGTGTCTGACATCTCTCTAGGTAGTTACTTCTGTGTGCAGTCCGTGTAAAAACATCAACTCTCAGGCTTAGGGCAGGGTTGAGAGTGGGCTAAGAGAAGTGGAAGAAAGTGTCGTTTGGGGTGAGGAAGGAAATAACTGTCTTGTTAAACAAGGACGCTGCTTGCGGAAGTCCAGAAATGTGGGCAGAGCCACCCCCTAGTGGGCAGCAGCGACCATAACAAGCTTGATCTTTGAACCTTAAGCTGGACGGGATGGAGGAAGCTGGCTGAAATAAGGTGTCAGAGGTGTTAGGTGCACTGAGGAGGCTGAGGTA